GTTGGCTTCATTGAGCTATGTTAATTGATTATGGACATTGGGTGTCCAGACTCTTTATGATAGCCCATCACATCAAAGTGCACCAGACTGTCAAACTTGCCACACTACAGGCAAGCAGAGTCTGGCAAGGCTAGGGTTAAGTTTAAACAGCCATTGTAGGCTTTTTTCCAATATGAACCGTGCCTGAATTCAAGTCTACATTCCTCTGAATCAGTGATGCATAAAGACTGACAAACAAGTGAACATGCCTGGGTGTCTCAAAGCTTCATTGTCTCAGCAAATTTAATGCTACAAGTGTACAAAATCAAACAGGCACAGAAACACATTTTGCATAGTAGAGAGCACAGTGAAGCAACACATAACATATTTTATATATGGACAAAATTCTTGTAGCCTTGTGCAAATTCCAGTCACAAGTTAGTCTTGGTTCAAGACGAGAGTGATCAATAGTGGATCACATCCGAGGCAGTCGGGTGCTCCCTGTGAGAGCAAGCCGAGAAGCAGCCCCACACCACAGCAGAACTGTCTCTTTATCATGGCTGCATTCAGTCCATTAATGATCAAATGCATCTCGATCCAAGACTAGTCGCATATAACATGTACATTTGTGCGTACACATACATGTACTTTTTCAGCAATATCAGGAATTTGTCCGAGTCTGAGGCAGCACGGTTGTACACGTTTACCAGGCGCCATTCTTACAGTCCCAATGGATACTTGGAAATGAACCGGTGGTTAAATTTTTTCCCCACTTGTCAACCATTTTGTATGTAAACTGACCCTACGTATTCAGCAACCTTTAACCCCTTCACGCCAGGATTCTTTTGACCGTGACTTCTGGGCTGTGGTATGCCCAGCATACAAAGCTCTGTCCAGCAGCAGGCCCCATTGAACCAGCAGCTGCATGGTGAATAGACTGTATGTGTGGTATGCACTAATCCTCACACAAAGCCACGACTGTGGACGGCTCTGGCTATGAAGGGGTTAATCTTCATCGCAAAGCGTCAACTATGGAATTTGCTCTGTGACAGTAATTTTGGTTGTCTTCTTACCCTGAGCGATAAACAGAACTTGAAGCCTCATAACAAAGGATATATGCTCGTTGAGCTGCGGTCAATAACAATACATGATAGTCAAGTCAAACCATAAAGCACCCACAAGTCGAGTCCTTTGTCCGTTCTCCGGTCACAGTGGAGGAACCGTTTGTTACAGTTCGCCTGAATGGCTCGTGACGTGACGGAATGACAGGCAAAGACTTGATCGACACATGAGTACATGAACCCAGTGTTAAAAGAGTTTAAAATGCCAAACACAAAAGCAGTAATAGGAACAAACCATAAATGAATAAATACACTGATGTGTATGTACAACCTACATGTTAGAAAAATAAACTTTCATGAAATTCCACACACAGTTGAGTCAGTGTGTTTTTGCTGCCAGCTTATTCACAGCCATCACAGCAGTCATCGCTTTGATTTTTTTTTTTTCGGGCATCAAGGCATCCACATTGACAAATCGCGCTGTATTCACACATGAAGCAAAGGCTTACCATAAGGGCTCATTTACACAGACGAGGAGTGACGGAATGCCACGAAATGCTAGCATCTCGTGCAATGATTTCCTCTGGGACTGATTCCAAAGAGAGAGAGCACGCTGCCTGGATAAGTGACAAACTGCCAAGCTCAGAAGCTTGGGCGATTTGATAAAGATACCGTGCCAAGACTTCCGTACGTTCTGGCCAATCAGCAGTGTTGTCAGGTATGACGCCCCTGACTGGCTTGGAGACTTGGAACAAGTGTGGGCGTGCCTTTGACCTCCATCATGCCTCGAATTCTGCTCTTAAGGCGAATCGTTAACATAGGATTTGCCCACCGAATGCATTTCCGCCTTGCGCGTGTAAATGGGCCCTTGAATTTAACCCAAGCCCCCCCGTCATGCATGCCGGCAACCTTCCTGAATCTCTTCAAAATCCTACGCCCTGCCAAAAACTTTTGAACTTTAAAAAGGAGCACCAAGAATCATGTGCACGTGTGTAAAGTAACTGATTAGGATGCCCTATCGTCAATCCTACAAAATCTTCCAAAACATCTTCAGCAGATGTTGGAGGATGTAGGAAAGGAAGCATTCTCAGTGGGTGCAATACTGATGTGAGAGTAGCAATGGGTTTGCAACAGAATACTGTCTTTTCTTTGTTCTTGCTTGGTAACAATAACTAAAACATGAATACAATCTAGCAGCTATTCAATATATTAAGCCACTCAATTAAAAATGTATTAACTTTCAAATGTGAACTCTAATATATGACACTGTCAGGCAACTAGTACACGCACTGGGCGCAATCGCAATGCACTCTCAGCCCATCTTGTATGAAATTCCCAACTTTACTTCCTTTTCCAAACAGTCTTCCAAAACTACAAATTAAAAAGAAAAGTCACTTGGCAGAATTAACAGCAGATTAATGCAATAAGATCAACAGATCACACAAGATGATCCGATCATGCAGATCGACTAATTGCTGTCAAGATATGCGTACCTTCCTTGAATAGTTAGTCGCGTCAAAAGTTACTACTTGGCTACTACTTAGATGTATGGACGCAGGTCTACTTAAATCTTGTCTGTTAAATTTCCTGGTTTTTGTGTACACGTGTGACAAGACATGTTTCGATAATGTAGGAAATTGTGAAGGCACTGCTCTGCTATTCCCTGAAACACTCAGCTCAGCTTCATGCCAAAAAATGTGGATGAACCTTATTCTTACGCCATTCACAAAAGACTTCCAACTTAAGGGAGTATAAATGTGGGATGTATGAAATATTCCAATGGGGTGATTGGGAACCAGCCCGTCAGCTTCACTCGTTTGTGCAGGTCGGGATGTGGGAGTGGCCACCAAGTCATCCAGATATTTTCACTATGAGATCAGTGACGAAACAGAGTCCTGACTACGTGCTATCGAGAAAGCAACACCGTCAAGAATTTGTTGCATGTTCCATGTTCATAGGCATCGGAAATGCGTATGATGCACTTCTGGACAGTCTTTTCAATCACCACACCATGTTCTTGTACTCTGCCTCGTACACATCCGGTATCAATCCAAACTTGGAATTCACCATCCGGACGCTGTTGCGGCCGAAGAGCATTTTCTCGTAGGCGATCATCTGCTTCCAGAAGCCCGGATTGGGGCGGATGAGCGGCCGCCGGGCCTTGACAAAAGCGTGGGCCTGGCGGAGCGTCATGCGGCTGTACTTCATGAGGTAGGCGATGCAGAGAGTGGCCGAGCGGCTGCGGCCGGCGAAGCAGTGCACCAGGACCCGGCCACCCTTGCGCTTGACGTCGTGGATGAGGTCGGCCACTCGGTCGAAGAAGTTGTACAGCCCAGCCGTGGGCACGTCGTCTATGGGGATGCGGGTCGCGGCTATTTCCTTTGGGTAGTTGGGCATGGGACACTGCGCGTGGAGGGTCACGTTGACCACGTGCGTGACCCCCCGCACGTGCAGGTGCGTTGGGCTGCTGGCCGCATGAGCGCTGCTGAGTAGAAGATAATCCGTCAGCTGCGAGATGGTGTGAAACGCTGACTGTGAGTATGCCATTCCTGGACGGTCCCCCTACACCACCAAAGAATTTGTATCCGTGCTTAAACGCTCGGTGAAACTGGTCACCAATGACTCATCCTGGAAATAAGAAACAGAGTTGCTTGTTGCGATTAACCTTTCATACAAACACATAATTATGAGGATACGTCATGTATTGAACATTTCCATACTTAACCTGTCTGTAACGTACATTGCAAGTGCTGTCCAAAAGTTAGCTTCTACATGTTACAATGACCTGAATAACTGCAGGGTTATAATACCTTAACTTCAGACTACATGTAAATTACACTGCATCCCTGAGAGATGAGCCTTAGGGTCATGCTATTTAGTGTCAATAAAGTATCAGAAAGTTATTCAAGCACATTCCTGAAATTTTTTTTAAAATTTACAATATTAAGTAGGCTCGTACATTCTATTCAATGTATCATATCTATCAGAAATGATATTTGAGTGCTGACATTTGAGCGACTAAGTCAGTTCTGCTCGTGCAGCCTGACCGACCGCCATCTTGTTTTCGTATGGACGGCAGAGTAAAGAAAGATGGCGGCCTCCTTACATAAGCGAAAAATTGTTGTTTTTCTATGAGAATCTGGAAGCAAATTCGATCTTTCTCTTACATGGTAGCAGGTCTTAGAGTCTCTAAAATATACTACTCAAAAATAGTTAAGGACCACTTTTTCGGGTTATACTATATCTGTCATTGAAAACGAGTGTTTTCTCCTTGTTTTATTCTTCCTTGCCTCGACATGCTCAAGTCATGATTTAGTACATGTTGAGTAACGTTAGTTCACAAACTGATAATCGTGACAGCTCAGTATTAGGCTATGAGAATAATAGTTGTGGATTTGCATCCACTGCCTGCCCGCATGTCCCCACGCCAATGCCGCTAAAAAAAATCATTATTTACAAAAATTTCATTATTTGCAAGAAAAAGACACAAAATCACGAAACAGCTGTACAAAACACCATATTCATGCATTTCATCCATACTTAGATCAGTTTAGATGGCTTTCATATGTCAAGATGTCTGCTTGAGCTATGGCTGACCCATGTACGTACATGCATTGTCCGTGAGTTTGGCTTGCATGTTTATGTAAGTTTTACTACCAAATTGGTCTTAGTAATACTATTACTAATACAATAGTAGGCATACGACTGCAGACTGCAGGTCTAGTCTACAGGTTGATCTCTACTTGACGACACCCATAAACTGATGAAGGGCCTACATACATGTAGGTCATCCCTTTGAAAGACTTTTGGTTATAGTTTGGCAATGCTTTACTTGAAAAGTGTCTGTACTTGTGGTTGAAATAAAATAATGAAAAATGCCTAGGATGTTTTTGAAATTGTGACGTAAAAATACACCCTGACAACTTCTCATGCCCGGCATGACTCACGGCCTTATCCTTTTGCTTTGTTTACATGTGCAACAATGATAAAGAAGCGGTCACCTTTAAACGTCCGTCGTGTTCATCGATAGCAGCAAAACTTAACGACGTCGAAACTGAGGAGAAAAGGAAGGAAACTGAGTAATTACTGCGAAGGAAACCAAAACACAAATCAGTGAGAAATCTGCTTGAATTAGGACGCCCTCTTGTGTTGGGATGTTTCTAGCAGTCTGACACCCAGCAACTTGCCACTGTGCATTGATGGTTTTTGGCCGCTGCATCTGACTATTTGCGTGTCACGCCGCTGTTCGCGATTGCGTGAGGCCGGTAGTCGGGATTTCATCATGTTTTGGCTCTCCGGTTATTGTCGAGTATTCCCGTAAATGATGGGTGTACGGATTTAAATAAACTATAAGACAATGGACTACATATCCAAGCATCATTTGAAGGAATTTTATTCAAGGGCTGTGGACACTTCCTACAATAAACATGGCCTTTTATGACGGAGCGGTGCTCCGGTGCGTTCACGCTGTGCTCCGTCTGTGGACTCTCCTGCGGACGTGGTTTTATCTGTGGGGATGGAAACTCTTACTCGCGAAAGCGAAGGGTCAGAAGCCGACGATAGCACGGTGTAAAGAAGACCGAAGACACCTGTCGAAGCTGCCATGCCATCTTGGCCTCCTCCTGGGGGAGGAGAAGATTTCCTACGGGGATGTCTGCAGCATTTTGGTGTGGAGTATGGCCTTGGGGATTTCCTACTGCAGCGTTTATGATTGGCAAGGTGTGCGCACTGGGCGTGGTGGGGCCGGGAGCAGATGCGGGTTAGGCCTAAGGGAGAAATGGGAAAGGCATGAACTTTAAAAAGAAAAGGGGGGGGTTCAAATCAGTTTTAAAATGCTAAATTGAATTTTTGGTAGTTAACTTGGGCATGTTAGGACTCTTGTAATAATGTTTTAAGTTACCTCAGCAGTGAAACAAGTTCATTCAGCTCCAGAAAATCAAGTGAGAAAAACTTCTCGAGGCTTGAAACTTTGCATGACTTGACAATATTTGGGAATCTTGATGGCCAGATGTGAAACTCTCTCTCATTTGACATACAGTTAGCGAGGTTTTTAACGAAAACTAGACTGAAGTTTTATTTCACCTTAACTCTTGGCTGATCTGTTTGCAGGAACCTTGAAGAAGAATGCAGTACTTGTAAAAAGTCATCTGGACAGATTACAGGAAGAAGTGTTTGGAAAGGAAAAATCAAAGTACACATTTCAGCTTCACCAGAGCAGCAGTAAAAAGCAGGGCAGTAATGGTTAGTACAGAGGAAAAAACAAACTGATTGGGAAAAAAAAACTCACCTGTATCCTTCTGTTCTCCATCATGCGAGCTTCCACGTTATTCTGATAAATCAGCGCGTAGGTCAAGTTTGCACACAGACTTCCCATTGGGATTCAGGAACTGAATTCTGGGACCACTTTACAAAAACGGGCTTTACAACAAGCACAGTTATGCTTATCGGCCAACAGTTTTTGAAGTGGATCACAGGAAGCTAGCAAACGCAGTCGCTATTAGCAAATGTCGCATTAACGTTTATTTCTGTTGGTAAAGCCAAGTATTTTTCCCAAAGCATCGGTCTCATTGTAAATGGTAACAAGCTTGGAGAAACATGTCGAGAGAGGAGCCACGAAACTCAGGAAATGTGCAGGTTTTTAAGATGGTTGGGAAACCCCGGCTGAAAATCAGTGGGTAACTGGTGGAATCATGTCGGGACTTGAAGCTCGGAACTCTCACTATCTCAGCTGGAATTCGAATCTGGGTTAAAGATGGAAGATTAGGAAAGTACAACTTTTCCAAAAGGGCCCTTCTGAGGAGTTCTACACTTTGGGCGTCAGTTGTTTTGTAATCAGTTACCGTATCCTCTCATAATTTTGGCACAGAATATCCATGAAGTAATCTTCACTCTTCCAATTTTTTTTTTTATGCGCAGAAGGGGCCCAGGTGCACATTTTGCTGTTGTCGCCCTCAGATGGTAGACTTGACCTAGTCCGGACAGCGGGAGACTACTGCCACGCCGTAGCCAATCGCATACTCAAACCAACGGATATCAGCCCAGACTTGGTCAACTCCATGTTGCATTGTAAGCGCTTTCACAATGGATATTCACATAGGGATAGTCGACAACCGTCCAAAAACTTTTCAAGTTAAAGGATAAATTCTCATCAGGTGATCTGTCTGGTAATGACAAGATCTACAAGTCTTTGTCCTTTGGGAAAAATTTTAACTTTCTGTCCATCATTAGCAAAAATTTGTGTTCATGAAGATTTAGGTCAGAAATGCTGGTAGAGTTCTGTACTCAGTACTTAGTCTGTTAGTGCTGAATTGAATTGCAATATGGCTCTGAGCCTGCCTATTTGTTTCTCTTTTGCATGTCAACTTTTTACAACAATTTTTTTCAGATATCAAAATGTCCAACAATTTTCCCCTGCCGTAAATCTTAAGTCATGAATCCTTACATCTTGTAGTGTTTGCCTCCACAGGGCGTTGGATTCTGCCAGATATTTTTTGTTTTTCAAATATTGATTATTTTTGGGTTGTATTTGGTTTATCTCAGCCACTAAAGGTTTTCCCGACCCCGACATGCTGGTGAGGTTTGGGCAGACAGAGAGCCTTCTTGGTTACCTTCCTTGGCAGACACGTCTCACTGAGATCTTGTAAGTTACTGAATGGCCGAGTTTGAGAAGCTTGGTGGCGACAAACATGTCAGTCTTTTATACCAGTTCTGAGCATGCATTCTAAGCACCCGCTGTTTCTGCTGCCACTAGTCTGCCATTGCATCCTTATCGGGAGGGTGTCAAAAACCTGGGAAGTTTTGTTGAACCACTTGCCTCCGGGGTTTCCGGAACCAAGCACCGTGCGTTTGTATGCATAACCAGGGTGACCGAAATCGGACAAAAGAGCTAAACCTTGTAACAAAAGACCGTACTCGGAACAGAAGACCAAGCTGCTGGGATTTGCCATCATTTTTCAGTTGGCATTAGCAGAGGTAATCTGTCATTGTTTGAAACAGTATACCACAGTTTGTGGCATTTAAAGCCAGCAGATTATCAGCGGGGACAAAAGCACTCCAGTGATGAGTTAATCCAGCTGCCTTTGAAAAGATGCCACTGGCATTCAGCAACACACTAGGCTAATTTCAGGAACAAAGGAAATTATGCAACACTGCATAATCTGGGCTCTCTTTACAAGGCGGCAGGCCTGGCTGAAATACTCGGGTGTCAGTGGAAGCTGTCCGTCAGATTAGAGTAGCCACCTGACAGTCATTCGTGTGGGTGTAAATGTCTAGTAAATGAAGTTATGAATTTTTAAAGAATTTTGAAAACGGAAAATCTAGAAAATCCCCCGCACATGCAAATTCCACCCAACAGGAAGTGGTTAATGATCCCTCGCATGGCCTTTCTGAGGGGCGGAGCAAAATTGAATTGCCTTTTTTGTCACATCGCAAACAAAAAGAAACAACTTTTTTCCCTGAGTGGGCGGGGGGTCATGGGTCTTGTTTGCCCCTCCAGGATCCACCATTACCCCTGTCTAACAATTCAAGAAGTGGACGAGTAGCAGGATTGGATGTTAATGTTGAGGGTGCAGTCCGACACCAAAGGCCACCTTCTAGTTTCTAGACTGAATTCCGGAATATCCAGATCTTTTAAAGCATCTTTTGGATTTTTTTTTTTTGCCCAAATCCAACAGGTTCATGTACTTGTCTATGTACTTGTACATGCAGGTTACTGTACCAAACCTGATAAACTCCAACAGAATGAGGCCATTGGAGTTTGAGCGATACGGTATGGATGGGTCTATGCAGTATAGGATGACTTGCACTGAACAGTACCAAACCTGACAAAATCAAGCA